CTCTTGTGCTCGGACTGTGTGGTGACTTTGTGATCCACCCTGAGCTTGCTTTGTTTTGCTTGACTGGTCTTATGACCACTTGTTCTCCCCCACTTTGCCTATGGGGGTGTGTCAGAACATTATAGTTTATACATTTGTGTAGGCTGTAGTGGGGTAGCCCATATGGGGTACAACCCAATTAGGGTTAGTACTTGTACCCAACTGTTTCATAGTTCATTCATCCATTCTCACTTCTCGTCATGGGGGTGCATGGTGCAATATCGGCCGACTTCGGCCACAACCCGCAAGTTTGTTCACCGCGCACGCTGGGGAGTCCACATGGGGCTCAGTTACGAGTACCAGGGCTGGCTAATTCTTGACATCAACACCAATCAGATCGTCCCAGCCCGCGACATCCTCTTCTACGAGTGTCTCGCCTTGCAGCAGTGGATCGAGGACGAGCGTCGCAACATCGCACGCGCCTGCGCCAACAACGGCCGCAGCTTTGCATCTCCTGAAGATGAGGCAGCAGCAGCAGCACTTGACCGCGACCCCACCGAAGAACATCCCTACCGCCTCGCCCGCACAACGACGACGACGATGATGACGACGACGCACCCGCGCCAGGACCATCAACTCGCCACACCCAGCCCAGCACTTTCTCACCTGCCCACGAGAGTGATGATGATGATGTGGTGGAGGTCACAACCACAAATACTGTAGGCACCACCAATGTGTCTGGCTTATAGCTTCTCATCCACTACCCTCGCGCGCGCCGTCGAGCCCGAGAATCCACGACAGGCCCTAACCGTTCCTCACGCCAAGAAGTGGCATGCTGCTATGGACGCGAAAGTGAAGGCGCTGTAATAACGCGACACGTCGGTCCTAGTCAATCGTGCAGCAGTGAAGGGGAGGAAGGTGCTAAGCGGAAAGTGGGATTTTCATCTAAAAACGGACGTTGATGGTACTATCGAGTGCTTCAAGGCACGCTGGGTCGTATGCGGGTACGACCAGCGCCACGGCATTGATTTTGATCAAAACTTCGCTCCCGTCAGACGTCACACCTCCATCAGGATTCTACTCGCCATTGTTGCCGCTAAGCATTTGTCACTGCAGCAGATCGACGTCAAGAAAGCGTTTTTGTAAGCGCTGGTGGGTGCAACCATCTTCGTGGAGCAGCCAAACACCTTCGAGGAAGGAGACCCCAAGGTCTGTCAGCTGAAGAAATTCCTTTACGGGATAAAATAGGCGCCGCGTCTTTGGCAGCAGCATCTGCACAAAATCCTCCTAGAAATTGGCTTCAGGCAGCTGCCGCATGACCCGGGAATCTACTGCCTCCACTTCAACGGCAATTACATCCTCCTGGTCGTCTCCATCGACGACCTGATGTTCACTGGTACCTGCAACAAGCTTCTTTATCAGTTCGAGGAGAACCTGGCGCAGCGCGTTGACATCACCATCAACCACAACGTCACACTGTTTTTGGGGCTGAACATCACCTATGCGCCAGCAGCAAATCATCTGCCAGCCTCCTAGTACACAGAGCAGCTGGGGGAACACTTCAAAATTTCACCCACACCACTCTCAACTCCTTACCGCAACCCCAGCGCCAACTACAAACAGGACAACAAGCCTCTGTTGGCCGCAGGACTCTAACTGTACCAACAACAACTGGGGTGCATGCTGTTCACCTCAGTCACATGCCGACCTGATCTTTCGTACATAGCCAGCCAACTGGCACAGTACTCTTGCAAGCCATTAGCTGAGAACCAGCTGGACCTGGAGCGCGCCCTGCAGTACTTTATCTCTACATCTGACATTGGGCTCTCCTACTCCACGCGGACAACAACCTCCTTCAACCTAAGCGGCTACCTGGACGCGGATCATGCCGCTGATCCTGCGAATCGACGGTCACGAACTGGCTTTGTTTTCCTCTTGGAGCCAACAGGACCAATCTCTTGGAACTCGCAGAAGCAGGAGCTGGTTGCCCTATCATCGGCCGAAGCAGAATACATCGCCGCGATAGCAGCAGTTCGCGAAGGTTTGTACTTGCAGGAGCTGCTGCAGGAAGCGAAAGTCCCAACTTCCCCTACCTTCCGCCTTCACCGCGACAAACAAAGCGCCATCAAGTTCGCGAACAAGCCAAGATTTGTGAACCGCACGAAGCACATCGCGCTTCGGTAATTTTTTGTCAATGACGAAATTAACTAGGGTAAAGTTCACCTAGCGTATCGAGATGGCACCTGACTTCCTCACCAAACGACTGCCACGTCAGCAGTACAAATACTGCTCTGATCTCATTGGAGTAGTCAAGCGAGTCGGCCCTCTGCGCGCCCAGGAATGTAGGGGAGTGTTACGATATGAAACTTTATGAGAAGGCATTTCTTTATGCTATAGGAGCTGACTCTCTCAGAATGCTATAATTGTCTAGTCTGCAGTGGGGTACTCTATAGTGAGTACAGCCCAATTTAGGGTGTGCTATATGTATCTTATCTACTGCTAGTGCAACCTCTCTTTTGCTGTTCATTCCTGCTTGTTATCTCGACATGGTATCAGAGCAGGTCGACCCTCGCGGATCAATCCTGTGGATGGGCCCACCCTGCTGCTTCCGCTGTTGTCCTGCCTGTCGCCGCCTCGGGCGCGCGACGTTCTCTGCCTATCGCGCGCCCGGCGCAAGTGGCGTTTTTTCTTCCCACCGCGCGCCCTTGTGCCCGCCACGCGCCTGCTTGCCGCGCGCCCCGGGCGCGCGCGGCGGTTTTGTCGCCCGTCGCGGCGCCCCGGGGGCCCGCGCGCTGTCCCCACCCGTCGCCCGTCACGGCGTCCCGGAGGCCCGAGCATCGCCCCCTCCCGTCGCCCGTCGCGGCGCCCCAGGGGCCCGCGCGCTGCCCTACCCGTCGCCCGTCACGGCGCCCTGGGGTCCCGCGCGTCGCCTCCCCTCCCATCGCCCGTCGCGGCGCCCTAGGGGGCCCGCGCGCTGCCCTGCCCGCGCGCCGTCTCGCTTCTGCTCGAACGACGCCCCAGCTGCTGTCCGCGTTTCTGCCCCGCGCCCCGCGCGCGCCGCTCGCGTTGGGGGTGTGGGGGTGGCGGGTATTGGGGTGGCGGGTGTGTGAGCCGTCCCCTACTCCTCCTCCTCCTCCGTCTCCCACTGCTGCAGCTAGCGCTGAGGGGGGTGGGTGTGTGGGAGCCGAGGGAGTGGCGCTAGGGGGGTGTCGTGGGAGTGGAGCTAGGGGTGCAGCAAGGGGTGTGTGAAAGGGGTGTGGGACAGTTGGGGGAGGTTGAACGGAGGTGGCCGTCGTAATGTTAGCAGCGCCAGTAGTCGGGGGGTCAGCCTTGCTCTGGTAGCCCAGCGAGCCTGCTGCGCCAGTCGCCCGTGGGTCCGTTGCTCCAGCCGCTCGTCTTAGACTCGGAGCCAGTGACTCCATTAGTCCGGATACCTTTGCTTGTGTCCGGTAGCTCGTGCGCGCTGCTCCTGTTGCCCGTGTGTCTGCGGCTTCACCCGTCGCCTCCCATGTCCACTCCTCCTCACAGTCCCTCCTCCTCCTCACTTGCCCTCTATGACTGCCTCTAGCTTTGCTTGTGCTTATGAACTTCTTATGCGACTGCTTGCTGTGCTAATCATACCCCACTTTGACTATGGAGGTGTGTCAGAATGCTATAATTGTCTAGTCTGCAGTGGGGTACTCTATAGTGAGTACAGCCCAATTTAAGGTTTGCTATATGTATCCTAGCTGCTGCTAGTGCAACCTTTCTTCTGCTGTTCATTCCTGCTTGCTATCTCGACAGACTCTACCGAGTATGAAGTCGAGGAGTCAGAAGAGTCGAAGCGACGTTGGTAACTGTCTGACCAAGACCGATACAGACAAAAACATTTGAAATGAAAAGAGCGGGAACATGTTTTGAAATGGGCCCCGGAGCCGCATGGTTTGAACTCGCTGCAATGTATCTCTTAGAGTACATGACTAGTCTAGGTCATTTCGTATTATTTTGTATTTCCTATGTAAACCCGATGTATGCATGCTATTATTATTGCAGTTATTTACATTCACTCTGACCTGAGATCAACACTTCCGCTGCAACATTTCTCTACGATCAACCTCTGAGTACGGTTACTGGACATTAAATAGTCACGACCGTTGACTGAATTCGACTGTTGACCTTCGGGTGACTCTCGAGCTTCCGCATGCTCAATATGAGCTATTGCGGTACTGGGTACAATCACGTTGCCTCGTTATGAAGTGGCGCGTTGGGAGAGAACCTTCTGGAGTGTTGTAATAGCCTTTCAGTTATTCCAACAACCCAACATGATTAACCTTCTGCCTGCAACACCCTTTTAGCTTAGTATTGTGTGACTGAATTCTCCTAGTCATGCTAGCCTTTTTCCTTATTGTTTTAAGGCTTTTGTTTTACCAGTGTTAGTTTTGTTCAGAACTGTTTCAGTATTACACCAACATGGCAATTTGGGAGGAAATGGTTGGGCAGCGTTCGTGTCTCCAAGATATTCCGTCAGAACCAAGCGTCTGCTCTGGCCCACACCAGACGTCTGGGCAAAGCTGGTAGAGAAACCAGATTAGGCATGGGGGACGGTGTCTGCGCGGCAGAATTTGGCTTCGTAGGTTCGGACAAAGTGGAGAAAGCCCTCAATGGCCTGGTTCCGAGCCTAGCCTTGAGGCTTACGCTGAACCTGAAATACCCGAGCCTACCTTCCCACCAAATGAATGCAGCAAAGCCATCCCCTCTCGATCCTCTTCCCTCCACGCTCAGCTCTCCGACTCAGCCTCTCCGATTGGGTTTCCTTCTGAATCTCACGTTCTGCTTCATAACCCGAATCCAAAACTCCGTTGTTCCCTGAATCTTGCTCTGCTGCTTCTGGAGGGCTGCTAGGGTTTCCTCCATCCCTCCGTTTGCTGGGCATGGACCCGGACCAGGGTAAGCTGTTCATTGGGGGTATCTCATGGGACACCACGGAGGATAGGCTGAGGGATTATTTCCAGACGTACGGAGAGGTCAGGGAGGTGGTCATCATGAAGGACCGGACGACCGGCAAGGCTCGCGGTTTTGGTTTTGTGATATTTGCCGACCCTGACGTGGCGGATCGCGTGGTTCTCGAGAAGCACACTATCGATGGCAGACAGGTCCGGCTTAGAGTGGACAGATCTACTTTTTCGTTTTCGGTGGTTTCATTATCTGTGCTTCCCGTGGCTTTTTTGTTGTCGTATCTGGCTCCCTATGTTCACTGCACACAACCACAACTATATTGAGAGATTTTTGTGCCTTCTAGCTGATGATTTGTTTCTTTCTTTATTCATTAATGCTCAGGTGGAAGCTAAAAAAGCCGTTCCTCGAGACGAGCAGAATCTTCCTAGAGGACTCGATTCATCTCAAGGCAACATGTCCGGAGAACAAGCAGCAGGAGGCGGCGGCGGCGGGCAGCCTATCCAGCGGACAAAGAAGATCTTTGTCGGCGGCCTCGCATCCACCGTCACGGAGGACGATTTCCGTCAGTATTTTGAGCAGTTCGGCACGATCACGGACGTCGTCGTGATGTACGACCACAACACACAGCGGCCGCGCGGATTCGGCTTCATCACGTACGATTCGGAGGACGCGGTCGAGCGCGTGCTGCAGAAGACGTTCCACGAGCTCAAGGAGAAGATGGTTGAGGTCAAGCGCGCCGTGCCCAAGGACAACATGGGCGGCGGCGGCGGCGGCGGTCGCGGCGGCTACGGCGCAAGGGGAGGGTACGGATCTGGCGGGTACGGTGGCGGTGGCGGTTACGGCGGAGGAGGCGGGGGCGGTTACGGGGCTCGCGGCGATTCGCGGTACTCCGGCGGTTATGCTGCCGGCGGCGGTCGCGGCGGGTACGGCGGGTACGGCGGTGGCGGCTATGGAGCGTATGGCGGTCAGTACGGCGGTGGGATGAACGGGGGCGGGTATGGCGGAGGGTACGGCTCGGGCGGCTACGGTGGAAGCGCCGCTGCCTACGAGGGAGGGTACGGGGCGGCTGGCGGTTATGGCGGAAGCTCCGGCTACGGCGGATCTCCCGGCGCGGGCGGTTATGGTCAAGCTGGCGGTGCCGGCGGACGGTCCCAATGGCCCGCCGGGTACGGTCAGGGCGCGGCGGGTGGCTATGGCGGTGGCTCTGCGGGTGGCGGGTCTGGTTATGCACAGGGAGCCACCGGCCAAGGCTACGGTGCTTCGGGCGCCGCTGGCCAAGGCTACGGTAGCTCTGGTTACGGTTACGGCGGGGCGGAAGGGTACGGCGCGGGGGCTGGCACCGCAGGTGGTTATGCGAGCGGCGGAGGTGCGAGGCAAGGCGGGTACGGCGCGACTGGTGGTACTGGCGGCTATGGAAGCGGAGGCCAGGCGGCGGGAACCACTAGTGCGAATTATTCTGGCTACAGTGATGCGTATGGTAGCTCCGGCGGGTAAGTTGCACTCTTTTTTTGGATTTAGCGTGTGGTATTTTACAACTGTCAAGTTTTGCTGACCGTACATTGCCGTTTCCCTGTGCTTTGCAGATATTCAATGTACTCGTAAGCAGGAGGTAGGACGAGCAGCTAGGAAGGGCAGCGTGAAGCTTATCAGCCTTCGCAAGGATCCAGCTAGAGCCGGCGATAGGTGCCCTGGATCTGCAGCTGGAGGCTCTGTCAAGGAGTTGACCATTCTTTCACAAGGTTCTAGTTTCAGCTAGGAGCTGAAAGATGCCACAAGCAGGCTATTGCCCTTGGTTAAGCTCTGGTAGGGAATAGGCGAAGAGATATATGTTCTCTGGCAAGGTTGGCAGGTAGGGTGATAGCTATGGTAGGATGTATTCAGCTTCATGGTGAGTTGCGAGGTGAGGAAGAGCTAACTTGAGAAGCTTTGCTCAGGCTGGTTTTCGTTTTGCAATGTGACCTTTCGAATCCGGCTGGTTGTGCAGTGCAGTTTGACTTTGAACCATTTACCTGAAAGGTGGATTTGAACCGGGAATCTAACCATTTGGTATGATTTCTCTAACCGCAGAGACAGTTGAACAGTTCACTCTGTCAGCCCTTGATGTGTTGTGTTGCTAAACTACGGTAATGTTCGAATGCGGAAATGCTGACCTGGGGCTTTAAAGGGAAGGATTCGGAATCAGGGCTCTGGATATCATACAAAATCCGTCTGATGGTCTGAAAATCAGACACGTATTGATATGTTCATATGATTTTTCAGACAAATTGTTTATGCTCAAATGACTTTCCAGACTGTTGGAAACAATTGATTTAGCGCCTCTGTCGTGTCGAAACACCAAGTCAGAAACGAAGCAAAACATATCGAAGCATTAGCGAGTCAACCCTCGGAGGTTGAACAACTGCTGGAGGTTACGCATGTTGGGCTGAACGCCCTAGGATCTTTGGTAGAGTTAAAGTCTGAGTAAATGATGTAGTAGCGGAAGCGTTTTGAATAAAGTCCTTGAACCACCTTGCGCTAGTATGTGAGGGCAAAGTAAGTTAATTAAAACAAAGAGATACAGGAATATATATGAGTACAGAGAATATGAAGAGACATAATTGTAACTACTCTACTGTTGCGGTTCGATACAATGCGACTCGGGCAACTGCTCAATGTCGAGTCAATTGTGTGTCCTTGCTGTCGCGCTGCATTTGTCAGGTCAAAGGTCGCTGACCTTTGACTTTCGCGTAACCTCTAGCGGTTACATCAACCTCCGAGGGTTGACTCGCTGGTGCTTCGATTGCGTTGCTTCGCTTGTGTCTTGGAGTTTCGACACGACAGAGGCGCTTAGGACTAATTGTTCCCAACACTCCCCTTCGCTTCCGGAGTGTCGCTGGTGGTGATGTGGCTTTGCCCAGTCAGCAGCATGCAGTACTCGAACTTCTGTTTTCCGAGCTTCTTGGTCAAGTAGTCAGCTGCCATCTCGGACGTGGGACAGTAGGATAGTTTGAGTTTCCCTTTCTCGATCTCGTCTTTCACGAAGAAATATCGCAGAGCGATATGCTTCGTTCTGTTCGCGAATCCGCTTTTGTTGGCGATGCGAATCGCAGATTGGTTGTCGCAGAACAGATTGAAGTTGGGTAACTCGGCTAACTTCGCTTCTTCCAGCAGTGCGCGAAGATAGAGTCCTTCCTTGATGGCTAAGCAGAGTGTGATATATTCTGCTTCAGCTGAAGAGAGAGCGATTAGTTCCTGCTTGCTCGATTGCCAGGAGATAGGTCCGATAGGTTCGAGGCGGTAGATGTAGCCAGTACGGGAGCGCCTGTTGTCTGAATCGCCGGCGTGATCGGCATCGACGTAGCCAATTAGTTTCGTCGGTGTAGTTGTGTTCTTGTAGTATGTCAGACCGATCGTTGAGGTGCTTACGAAGTAGTGGAGAGCGCGGTCGAGCTCCGACAGATGTTCTGCTTCAGGCCTTTTAAGATAGGTAGCGAGTTGACTTGCCGAGTAGGATAGATCTGGGCGGCAGGTGACGGCTGCGAAGAGAAGGCATCCCAGCTTCTTCTGGTAGTCTCGTATGCCGGCGGGTTTGAGTAGGACGGAACCTCCTCTGTCGTTCCCTGCCGTGTAGCGGTATGGCGTGGAGATGACTGTTGGTGTGATCGTAAAACGTTTGGCAATAGTGTCGGCATACTTTTCGGCGCTGAGATAGATCGCGTTCTCTTCTTCGCGGATGTTGAGGCCGAGGTACTGAGTGACGGTAGAGGAGACTGTGAGTGTGAGGTCCCTCTGCAGCTCCCCTTCAAACCAGGTGGTTATGTCGTCAGTAGAGCCGATGTAAAGTAGATCGTCGACGTAGACGATCAGCAGGATGTAGTTGGCGTTTTTGGTGAGTCGGTACATTCCTTGGTCGTGAGGTAGTTGGCGGAATCCGATGCGAGTGAGTCGAGCGTGTAGGTACTGTTGCCATAGCCGCGGGGCTTGCTTGATCCCGTAGAGCGATTTCAACAGCTGGCAAACCTGGTTGGGTTCTCCGTTAGTACCGTGCGGTAGTTCAACGAAGATTTCTGCGTCGACGGGTGCGTAGAGGAAGGCGTTAGCGACGTCGATTTGCCGCAGTTTCCTTTTCTTCATGGCGGCGATCGCGAGGAGGATTCGGAGTGAAGTGTGTCGGCTAACAGGGGCGAATGTCTCGGTGAAGTCTCGTCCGTGTTCCTGATCGAATCCGCGCACGACCCAGCGTGCTTTGAACTTCTCGATTGTGCCGTCTGCCTTCGTTTTGATGCGGAAGACCCATTTCCCGGTGAGAATGGTCTTGTTCCTTGCCACGCTGACAGGAACGACTTTCCAGGTGTTACGTTCCTCTAGCGCCTTTAATTCTCTGTCCATGGCTTCACACCATTTTTCCCTGTGTTCCCCCCCTAGAGCCTGCTGAACCGTCGCAGGCTCTTTAGGAAGGGCGTTGCCGTGGACTGCGGTGACGAGGCCGAGAATCTGTAGTCCAGTCTGTGAGTAGCGGGGAAGAGTTGTATCCTCGGGATAAGCTGCTTCATCTCCCGCTTCTGGGTCGGGTGTGAAATTCGGCCCTATCCGTTCTGCTTCGTTGGTGTTGACTGTCGCAGGTGTTACGTAACCATTGTCGGCGAAGTGGTAGAAGACTTCGGCGTTGGCGCTTTCGCGAGGGTTTTCTTCGTCCATGGGGACGTTGACGGAGCAGAACGGGAGAGGTCCGGCTTCTTCTGATGCGTTGTCGACAGTCTGCTCGTCCCAGTCTGCTTCGTCCGCTGCTGAGGCGAAGGCTCGGTCACCACGAAAGCCACCTGTGGGATCTTGATTCTCGTGCAAGTTGGCAAGGTACGTCTGAAGCGTGAGTCTTTCGTAGAAGATTACGTCACGTGCTGCTACTGTTTCCTTGGAGTGGACGTCGAAGATTTTCCACGCGTTGTAATTCTTTTCGATGCCGAGGTGTAGTCCCCACTGTGCGCGTTGTGAAAATCTTCCCGCTCGTGCTTCTGGGGGTCGTTACTGTACCATGCACCCAAAAACTCGTAACATTTTTGTGCTGCCCTGTTTCCCTGTCCACAGCAGATGCGGTGATACGTTGTTCGGGAGTGAGGACGACGACATCAAGTTGTGCAGCATGACAGCATGGTCCATTGCTGCAGGCCACTGGTGGTTGGGTAGCCGCATGCCACGTAACAGTTTGCGCATGCTGTTCTGCAGAGTCCTGTTCATTCTTTCTGCGACACCTTGCTGCTGATGGGCGTAGGGAAGGGAGAGGAGCTGCTTGATTCCTCTTTCCGCCAGGTACTGCTTGAATCGCTGAGAGGTGTATTCTCCTCCTCCGTCTGACTGGAAGCTTTTCAGCTGTGCTCCCAACTCTCACTCTGCTACTGGTAGCCAGGCGGCGAACGCTGCGAGTGCCATGTCGTGGCTGGGTAGGTTTAGGTGCCAGACGTATCGAGTGGCGGCGTCGATGAAGGTTATCGTGTAGTTGTAAGTAACTTGTCCTGGTTCTCGATTGAAGAGAATATCGCTGTACACCTTCTCGAGTGGTGCGTACGCGGGTGCGCTCGGGTTGTGGTGAGGAGTAAACGGTCGATGTGGTAAGTCGGCTTCGGGGCAGGTAAGGCAAGTTCCTCGTGCCCGTTGAAGTTCTCTGCCGCCGGGTAGTAGTAATGAGTCCTTGTCTAGGACTCCTGCTCTTATTGTGTTATTTAACACAGTGTTGCTTGGATGTCCCATGCGTGCGTGCCAGATGTCTTCGGAGGCGCGGTGTCCGGATGAGCGTCGATACGCGTCGGAGTTGGAGTAGAAGCTGGCGACGAAGTTTGCGCTTCTGTGAACTTCTCGTTGAGTTGGGTTCAGCTGCTGTGCGGGTGTTGGTGGTGCTTCGTCAACGAGAACTGGTGTCGCTGCTGCTGACGACGGTTCTGCTGCTGCCGATGTTGTCTCTGCTGCTGCCGATGTTGTCTCTGCTGCTGCCGATGTTTGTATCGTTACTAACGCACGTGTTCGTTCTGCTTCAGGGATGGTATGCGAGTACCAGAAGCCTTCGGGGCTGAAGTCGGGGTCGAGATCTGGAGGGTGTGTCCAGTCAGCGAAGTTCACGATGGCGTCGCTGTCTGCGGTGCCCAGGTCTGGGACGAAGTCAAGGACGAAGACGTTGTTCTTCAGGACCGCCTTTCCGATGTAGAGGCCGCCCTTTCCGTGGTACAGTTTGAACTCCTGGGTGGTGCTGTCGGCTTCCAGGTGAATACCCTTCGACATCAGCTGGCTGACGCTCAGTAGATTGTAGCCGAGTCCCTCTGCTATTAGGACTTTCGACATTTGTAGGACGACGTTTGTCTCCCGTGACTGAAGTTGCACTATGCCTTGTCGTCTTGTGCGCAGGTTTTGATTATTGGCGACGGTGATGACGACTTCTCGTTGGAGTTGGTGCTCGCGTTGAACGAAGCGTCCAGAGGAGCACATGTGTTGTCCGCAGCAACTGTCCAAGAACCAAGTGTCTCTTC